ATAAAGGGAGGATAGGGAAAAATATTTTAACATGGACAACTTTACCCTTAGTTTATTTAAGCTTATTTTTTCAAATTTTATAGAATGTTTAATAAAATAGAATTATAAATAACATTTAATATATTGACCAATACTTATACCAAAATTCTAATATACTCTAGAGCATGAAGTACTATTGAAAAGAAGGCTAAGGTAATGTTCAGCCACAACTTGTACTGTATCTTATCTTTAAATGAAATATTTGGTCATGCAACGGAGAGAGCAGTGTCTGGAGACAAGAAGAAAAAGATTTAGGGTAGTATAGAGATATTAAAACTAAATATGTGTATAATGGTCACAACATGGCAAAATATTGCCCTTTCTCTCTAAATCTTCCCAATTTTGGAGGGGAGGTTGAGGAGGGAAGTGGAGGGGAAATTTTTTAAAATTGTCCCCCTGCTAAGATTTGTGTGTTGCCAAACAAGAAGAAATGATTAAAATCCTTCCCCCTCCCTCCCCTTCCCTCTAAATCTCTCATACCAAACGCACCCTTAATGTAAAGAATATTTTTTTAATCATATTTCTAAGTCATCTCATTTAATTTTTAACATAAATATATAATTTTGTTTTTTATCTATTATAGCATAAATAATTATTTTTTACAATATATATTAAATAGAATTAAAGTTTAGAAGGAAATATGAGATAAAAAGAAGTTGAAAATTATAATATTCTAATTCAAGCATGTAAGAGATTAAAATTTTAGGAAAAGAACTTGATAGGGCATTTACAAATATAATTAAATGACAAAAATACCTTTATATAAAAAAAATTTATTAACAAACTATGAATTGACAATGACAAGTGTTAAATAACAAATTAAATGATAAGACATATACTACCAATTATAAGTTATTTATTAATAAGTTGTGAACTGGTAATGACAAGTGTTGAACAACCAATGATAAAAAAATATACTAACAATAACAAATTTAATAGTTTATTTTTTTAAAAAAATCTGATATAAAGACATTTTAGTCATTTGAATATATTTGCAAAATACCGGATCAAGCACCACTTTCTCCCTTAGGATTTTTACCTCTTAAGTGTCTAAATTGAAATATTGTAATTTTTAACTTTTTTTTAATATCATTTTCGCATGTTAGAAAGTAATAATATTTCAAAAAAGAATTAATAGAGTTTAAAATTTTTGCGGCGGACCTAAGGCTGTATCTAATCTATTCTCATTTTCTCCAGTTTTCTGTAACGTCAAATATAGCATTCAAAAATTGTAGGGGCGACCCCGTCCGGCTCTTCCATGTTTTTTAAGAAACCGGTTCATTTAACGGGTTCATCCATTCATCTTGTTCAGTAGTAACTGCGACTTTTTTTTCCTTCTTCACGCCTGGGTGTTGAACAATTTTTACCGCTTAAACATGGGGTATTGAGTTTGATTTGAATTGAATTCACTTGACTCCCAAAAAAAAAATCATTTGAAGAGTTATTCTGGCCTATTAAATACTCAAATAAAAAATTAATTTTATAGCAAGAAACAAGTTAATTATTTTAAACGTTTTTAACATAAACTCCAATTAAAGAAATATTTTTAGAATTTTTTACCAAAACATTATTAAAAACTACGAAAACATAGATTAAAATTAAGGCTGTGAAAATATTTGAAAGTTTTTTTGTAATTTTAGCAAAACTAAGGTAGATCAAGTGTTATACTGAAAAAAATTTGATGTTGATAGTCACACATCATTTGATGACAAATATAAAAGAAGACTCACAAAAGGTGACCACTTTAAAACAGACAGAAAAGATGAACAATTGTCACAGCAGTGATAGAAAAATTTTGTGTTTTATTTGAAGTAAACATTACGGTGAGGAATCTTTTGCTTTTCTTATGTGGAAAAATTTGTTCATAAATGGTAAAGGAATTTGGCAAGAGAGGAGTGGAGAAGAAAATTCCATTATTCTTGTTTTGTCTTGATTGATTTGTCTTATCGTATAGTGATTGGAGAAGAAAATTTCCATTTAATTTGCCTGACAGTTGTATAGCACATTATATATATAAAAATATTCTTATGATTATATTTAAAAATATTGCTGCTGTTATTTTTTTTTAAAATTTAATTAGTTGAAAAGGAAAGCGATTATATATACGTTTTTTTTATTTGGGGTGAAAAAATTGTGAGATGAGGAAACTGTCATTTTTTAAATGTCAAAAATTTTTCTATTGATTCAAAAAGACCTTTTGAAAATAAGAACAATGAGTCGAGAAACCCCCCACCCAAGTTTCGTATATTTCACTCATATGCAGAAAAAGTTTGCCAACTATGTCTCTAATTTCCAGAATTTGCAACCATGCCTCCAAAATTGCCGCTCGACTGGGGGGTTGAAATTAAAAGTTCAATCCAATTGGCTCATCTTCAAGTTATTGTCTCCATTTAAAACTTCTAGATCTTTTACGCTTTTTTTTTCAGTTTTTTCAACGGCTTGAAAAGATTTGTGCAGATTAGCACACTTAATCTAAATCAACATAGTAATATTAATCAGTGCAAGTTATTTTTGCACATTTGAAAAACATATGATACTTGGCGCACTTTAAAAAAAGTTTATAAGTATTTTTGTAAATTTACTTTTTATATTTTTTTAAATAGCATCTATCCCACTATAAAAAGTAAACAGACTTTATGTTATTTTAGTAGTTGTATCATTTTCACTCTAATTTTGCATTTTTATGTGCATTTTTGAACCTCCAAAAAGCATATGATGTTTGGTGCATTTTATGTAAAAGTTAATGAGTTTTTCTGTACACTTGGCTTTTTATTTAAAAATAATAATTTGTTCTACCATTTTTTATTGCGGGTTCTATCTTCATCAACCATTTTTTCATTGTAGGTCCCGTACCCACTTTTTCATTAGGGCTTTACAATCTCCTTTATTCTTTTTTACTATGTCAAAATTAGAAAATGCTATGTAGAATAAAACTAAAGCCAAAAGAAAATAAACATTGGATGGGTGCTCATCCGACCAAAATTATAAAGGAAAGAGAATTTACTAAAATATTTATTTAAATATTATGCTGTTTTCTGTTTAAGATTCATTAAATTGACAACAAAGTAAGCGTTGATTGTTCAATTATGAGAACCACTTTTGGGTACTTCCAAACACCCCTTAAGTTAATCATTTTAAACACCAACCTGCATCGATCTTAGTGAAAGAGGTTTTGAACGCTTAAATATGAGATGTTGAGTTTAATTTGAGTTCATGTGAATTAAAAAAAAAACACCTTTTAGAGAGTTATTCTCAATTTGGCCTTCTAGATAGTCATATAAACGTTTTCAATATAAACTTCTATTAAGAAAAATATTTTTAGAATTTATTACCAAAACATTATTAAAAAATGTTGAAAATATATATTAAAATTAAGGTTGTGAAAATATTTGAAAGGTTTTTGTAATTTTAGCAAAATTGAGGTAGATCAAGTGTTATACTAAAAAAATTGATGTTGATAGTCACCCATCATTTGATGAAAAATACTAAAGAAAACTCACAAAAGGTGACCAATTTAAAACGGACAGAAGAGATGAACAATTGTCACAGTAGTGATAGAAAAATTTTTGTATTATATTTGAAGTAAACATTAGGGTGAGAAATCTTTTACTTTTCTTGTGTGGAAAAATTTGTGCACAATTTGAAAAGGAATTTGGCAAGAGAGGAGTGGAGAAGAAATTTTCATGATTCTTCTTTTGTCCTAATCAATTTGTCCCATCGTACAGTGAGAGTAAAAGAAAATTTCAATTTAATTTTCCTGACATTCATATAAGATATTATATATATATATTCTTATGATTATATTGAAACATAATATTCATTTAAAATTATTTCTGTTGTTTTCAAAATATTTTAATTAGTTGAAAAGGAAAAAGATTATACATGCGTTTTTGGTTTGGTCGGGATGAAGATATTGTGAGATGAGGAAATTTTTATTTTTTTTAATGTGAAAAAGCTTTCTGTTAAATGGAAAAGAGCTTTGGAAAATAAAAGAAATAATGAGTCAGGAAACTTCCAAACAAGTTTCATATGGTTAACTCGTGTGAAAAAAGTTTGCTAACTATGTTTTTACTTTCCAAAATTTGTAACGATGCATCTAACATTATAAATATAAATATTTTTTCATGGCTATTATAAATATAAATATTAATTGAGTAAATTTATTCATGACAATTTGACTAATTTGTTTGTAGGAAATGCTATGAAGTCCAACACTTGTATAAGAAACTCTTTGGATCCAACAAACAAGTTAGGTAGGGGAGTCATTTGTAATTATCACGGAAGGGACAATAGAAAACTCCATGCATATTCACTCATTTTTCATGAAATTTGAAAAAGAGTTTATTATAAGAAAGAATATATGAACATATTTTTTTAATTAGAATCAATTATAATATTTATGAAGATTTATCAATTAAATTTCATTTATTAACACTTGATTAAATTGCCAAAGGTAGATTCTTCATGATTTATCACTTGTACATATATTAAAAAGTATAAACACCTTACTTATATATGAAAAAAAAGTACATATGTAAGAATATATTGTATACCAAGATTAGTTGTAATGTTCCTTTAAATTATTTTCATCAATTGATACACATGTATGTGATTTGCTAATAATAGCAATAACATTTTATAACTTTTACAGTCATATTTGGAGACGAATATAACAATTAAAATTACATAAATCCATGATTTTTAAGGAAATGATGAGACCTATTAGGCTATAACTTTGCATAAATAATAAAGAATTACATATACCTTCTACATACATAATCGTCTCAAGTTTCATATCTCACTGTCATCCTGTATTGACCAAGACGCCTATAAAATGAACGCTTTGCTAGGAAGTCATTCACTGTTATGTGAAAGTTTTGCTTAAACCCCCACTTTCTAACACTATAAATACCGGTAATTTTGTGTAGAGTTGTAAGCCAGCTCTAGTAAAGAAACTAATCATGGGTCTGTGCAAAAATACCATATTGTTCATTTTGATTTGCTCACTCACCTCATCACTAAATCCCTTATGCAAATGCAAAGCATCTGATCAAGTTCTTTGCATTCCTAGTGAGCGACAAGCCCTGCTTAATTTCAAGCAACATCTTCATGATCCTTCAAACAGGCTTGCCACTTGGCCTGATGATAACACAAATTGCTGCAGCTGGATATCAGTTTCTTGCAATCATGAAACAGGTCACATTCTTGAACTTCACCTCTCATGTTCAATTACTTACTCATATAGGGGTTATGATGTTTCTGACATATCAAGGTTTGGGGGTGAAATAAATCCTTCGATACTTCAGTTGAAAGAACTAAGTTACTTGGATTTGAGCAGCAACTATTTTGGAGGCCTACAAATTCCAAGTTTCCTTTGCTCTATGAAGAGATTGACATATTTGAACCTCTCTTATGCGGGATTCAGTGGAAGCATTCCTCACCAAATAGGAAATCTCTCTGGTTTGCTCCATCTTGACCTTGGAGGTAATTCTTTTACTGGAAAGATTCCCCATCAAATTGGTAATTTGTCAAATCTACTCTATCTTGATCTCTCTGGTGGTTATCAATATGACGTGGATGTGATATCAATGTATGGAGAAAATCTTCAGTGGATATCATCTCTTTCTTCACTCCAATATCTTCAATTGAGCTTTGTTAATTTGTCTAATGCCTTTGATTGGTTGCCTGTGTTGCAATCTCTTCCCTCATTGACAGAGTTACACCTACAAGCGTGTGCTCTTCATCACAATTTCCATCCAGCCATTGCTATAAACTTTTCATCTCTAACAATCCTTGACCTTTCCTTCTCTTTTGATTTTGGATCTCCTTCCATTCCAAATTGGATTTTTCAGCTAAAGAATTTGGTTTCGCTTAAATTAAGATATAATCATTTGCAAGGATCCATCCCAAATGGTATTCATAACCTCTCTCTCATTGAAGATCTTGATTTGTCTCACAATTTGTTTAATTCTTCTATCCCTGATTGCTTGTATAATTTGAACCATCTCAAGTCTCTTGATCTTTCTATAAACAATTTGCATGTAACAATTTCACATGCAATTGGAAACTTGACTTCTATGGTTAATGTTGCTTTGTCACAAAATCAGTTAGAAGGGCCATTTCCAAACTCTTTAGGAAATCTTACCTCTTTGAAATATCTTCAAGTTTGGAGCAATAAATTTGATGGGAATCCTTTTGATGTTTTGCAATCACTTTCTGAATTAGAAGATCTTCATATTAGGGATAATCTTTTCCATGGAATTGTAAATGAACATCACCTCGCTAATTTCACTAAATTATATTCTTTCCCTGTATCAAGAAACATACTTACTTTGAAAGTAGGTCCCAATTGGAAGCCATCTTTTCAAAAGTTGACCTACTTGCACATGGCCTTATGGCATTTAGGTCCCCACTTTCCATCATGGATTAGATCACTGAAACATCTTAAGGGGTTGTCCATACCTAACAACAACATCTCTGATTCTATCCCCACATGGCTGTGGGGTGCATTCCCCAATGCTTCTGATTTTGATTTCTCCAACAATGATATCCATGGAGAGCTTTCTTATACATTAAAGAATCCCATCAATGTCCACACCATTGATTTAAGCTCAAATCGCTTAAGTGGTCCTTTACCACGCATATCACCAATTGCGGAATACTTAGACCTATCACATAATTGGTTTTTTGGATCCATAGCCTCCTTCTCATGTCAGGAAAAGGAAGAGCCAATGACGTTAGAATATCTCAATTTAGCATCAAATAATTTGTCAGGTGAAATACCTGATTGTTGGAAGATGTGGTCAAATAATCTAATGATCGTCAGGTTTGATAATAACCATTTCAATGGGAAGTTGCCTACATCCTTGGGATCCTTACCTTGGCTATACTCACTGTAACTCCGCAACAACTCCCTTTCAGGAAATTTTCCTGTTTGTTTCAAGAATAGTACTGAATTGGTATTTTTGGATCTTAGAGAGAATCAATTTTCAGGAATTATTCCACTATGGGTTGGAGACATTCTATTAAATTTGAAGATCTTTCTCTTGAGATCAAACCAATTCAATGGTAAGATTCCCAATCAAATATGCTCTTTGAATTCGCTACATGTCTTGGATCTTGCACAGAACAACTTGACAGGACAACTACCAAAATGCATTAATCAATTGAGTGTTATGCTAGTAAAGAATACCACTCTAGAATCGATCATCTATGGCGAAGGAAATGGTAGTGCAAGATCTGTAACTGATGTGCTTCTAGAGCTGAAAGGAAGAGAAGACGTATATAATATGCTGGGCCTCGTCACAAGCATAAATCTCTCAGGTAATAAATTATGTGGGGAGATACCAAGTGAAATTACATCTCTCAAGGGGTTACATTTCCTGAACTTGTCAAACAATCTTTTGAGTGGTAAGATTCCTCAAAATATTGGAAACATGGAATGGTTGGAGTCAATGGATCTCTTAGAAAATCAACTTTATGGTGAAATCCCATCAAGCATGTCCAATTTGAATTTCTTGAGCAACTTGAACTTGTCATCCAACAATTTGATGGGGAAAATTCCAACAGGAACTCAATTGCAAAGCTTCGAAGCATCAAGTTTTGTGGGCAACAATCTCTGTGGTCCTCCACTACCAAAGAATTGTGATGATTTGCAAAATATCCCAAACCGCCATGATGACAAAGAAGGTAAGACAAATGGGGTCAATTGGTTTTATGTGAGCATGTCTCTAGGATTTGTTTTAGGATTTTGGATAGTTGTTGGTCCTTTGCTCTATAGTAGATCCTGGAGGTACACTTACTTTCAGTTCATAGACTGCATGTGGTACAAACTTCGATATTATTGGTGGTGAGAAGGGGAAAAAAAGAGTTGTGTGATTGTAGTTATGGCTTATTACAAGCATTTTGTATGTTGTTGCTTCTGTTATCATTAATCACTTGGGCTCTTGAATAATATAAGCCTTGTTAGGACTATACTTTCTAGCAAGAATATGTACTCTGTGTGTGTGTGTTTGATAATGTATTGCTATATTGAAGAAAAGGTCTCCAATTTGTTCGTTGCTTCTTGGCCAAAGCTATAGTTGAGAATAATAGCTTCTGTTAAAAAAAAAAAAGATAAAGTAAAATTAAAAAAAAGTTAAAAAATCGACATAAGGCATATTAGGACGTTGGACATAGATGGTCAATCTACTAACTTTCAGTTTATTTTTTATAATTTGAACGAAAAGGTAATATATATATATATATATATATATATATATATATATATATATAGAAGCACCTTTGCAATCGAATGTACGAAAAAATGAAATTTCAATTTGAATTTAAAAAGAAATTCAAAACATATCCAACCTCATTTGGTGACAAGTGAGGTGTGTTTTTTAAATTACATCTCTCTATTTATTCATTCTTTCATTAACTAAGTTGATCTTTTTCATTATTATTTTGACGCCTTTTTTTTAATCCAATCTCATTTGGATAAAAGAATATACATTTAAAAGCTTAAATTACTTTATTGACTTAAAATTATTGTTTTCATATTTAACATGTTATAGTTAACTTCATTATTTTTATCTCTTAATTTTATTGAAAACTTCAATTAATTTCTGAACTGACATTTTATCAAAATAATTCATGAATTTATATTGCATCTCATAAAGGTCTTAATTTTTTTATATGTTTAAAATTACGTACGTTTGCTATCTAATGATTCTACTTGAACAGTAAATCCAAATGGCATATGAATGCGAACAACCTATCACCGAAAAAAAAAAAAGGGAACACTATAGTCAAAATCCAAAATGAAATTTAAGGACGAATGTGACAAACTAAGATTTAAATAAATTTTTGTTGGGAGAGGTATCCACATTCAATGTTTAATAATGCCTCAAAAATAATTACTTTCAAATAAAGAAATACATGTACTTAAAACAAAATATTTTAGAATTGTTATCAAAATATTATTAAAAATGTTAAGAAATTTATTAAAATTAAGGTTGTGAAAATATTTGGGGGATTGTTGTAATTTTGGCAAAATTAAGCTAGAGAAAGTCTTATAGTAAAAAAATTGATATTGGTATAAAAGAAGATTTACAAAAAGGTAAAGACTTTAAAAAGGACAGAAGAGATGAGGAATTACCATAGCAATGATAGAAAAAAAGTTTATTTTATTTGAAGTAACCATTATGGTAAAGAGTCTTTTACTTTTTTTATGGGGAAAAAGTTGCTCATAAGAGGGATGGAGAAGAAAATTCGATGATTCTTGTTGTTTGTGCTGAATACTATTTTTATTTTAGTTAGTAATTATATCTGACATAACAACTAATGGATTATGAAACATTTATCAGCAGAAATTATTTTTGGCCCAAAAAAAAAAGAGAGTATATACGTAAAAAAAATTTTCTGATTATATTTCGAAATACTATTCCTTTAAAACTATTGTTGTGAATATTTTTAAAGTATCTTAGTTCAAAATAAAAACTTATGTATATATTTGTTTTATCTAAGGTGAAAATCAAAGTACTAAAAACTGGATCAGTTGAGGCAAATGGTCAAGTATCAATGGGTCAGACCAGAGTTGACCCAAGGTTAAACAAGTGAGAAATAAAAAATTGAAAAATAATTGAAATTTTTATCATACCATCTAAGGACTAAATATTTGTTCATTACCTTAAATTATAAACAAAATAATCACATACTTACAATTTCTTTCCAATCTTCTTTATAATTTCTTTGACAAATTCACTTCATATTATTATATTAAAAATATCACCATACATTAGTCCTAGCAAAATATCAAACTAAGATATAGGATAACAAAATATTCCTGCCTATAGTCTATTAATCACAAAACTAATATAGCTTAAGAAAAAAGAAAAAGTTTTTGGCTCAAAATAGCTTTTTTTTAATTAAAAAAAAACAGCGATCAGGTTGACCCACCAAACCACATGGGCTAACTGAGTTGTTCCCTATTTGGTCCGGTTTGCATCGGGGCACCCCTCCCGAGTCAATTTGATTCCGGTCTGCATGCTTAACTGTACTAGTTATTTGACCGGTTTGTCGATTTTTGGGCTGAACTATCGGATTCAATTTTCATACCATAGTGAAAATATTATGAGATGAGGAAACTTTTATTTTTCTGATGTGGAAAATTTTTCTCTTATATTGAAAAGACTTTTGAAAAATAAGAGAATAGACCAAAAAACCTCAAAACAACTTTTGTGTAGTTGACTCATTTTAATATGAAAATATAGTTAATCGGTGTGTCTACACTCTACAATAGGTGGAAAAAGTTATCCAGTAAGCCAACAACGTTTCTACTTCTCAAAACTTGTAATAATCTAACATTAAATAACAAAAGAAATAATTTTATTCAATAAAATTTGAATAATTCGTCAATAGGAAATCCTATAAAGGCCCAAGTGGGTTCGGAGAAATTCTTTGGATCCAACAAAAACATTAGGTGAAGGGAAATCATTTGTAGTTATCATTAGAGCTTCGTACTACATATTCACTCGTTTTTAATGAAATTTGAAAGAGTTTATTATAAGAAAGAATATGCAAACTTTTTTTTAATTGAGAATTAGTAATACTACTAGTATTTATGAAGATTTATTAAGTAAATTTTATTTATTAAAACTTGAATAAATTGCAAAGGGAGATACTATAAGATTTATCACCCATATATAAGAAAAATAAACACCTTAGTTAAAAAGTACATATCAAGAGTATATTGTATGTGAAGATTAATTTTACTATTCCTTTCAATTATTTTCATTAATTTGAAGTATGAGAAAATTAATATTTTGATTTTTCAATATTTTCAACTTTTAACTCACTTATATTTAGGAGTATTTTAGAGTATCCCCAGGTGATCATTTTGGACTTGTGACTTATCCTTATTAGGTTGAGAGCATTTTGTCTCAATTATGACTAGGTTGGATGGTACACCTTAATACTTGAATTTTGGACACATTTTTAACTCAATCCCTTACATATGGAGAGCATGATGTTGTGCACCTACGGTCCCATTAATAAATTAAAGGGAAAATTAGAGAGAAGGACAAAAAAAATTATATTTATTGCAAAGGATCTTAAAAATTATAATTATTTAGAAAGGGAAAAAAATAAAAATAAAAATTTGAAAATACCAAATTACCCCTATTAAATCACCTACATTTATTCTGACCCCACGTTAAAATGTTTTACAGTTATTATTAATATCTACCATGTTTTTCTTTATCAGGAAAAAAAAGAAACTTTCTTCGGTCACTGAAGTGAGGGAAAATTGTTCATCTCCGTTTCTTTTCTCTCAAAAAAGTTCATCCTATTAAATATAATATAATCAAAAAATTATATGTTCAATTACTTTTAAAAATCAGATTAAGTATTTTTTTTTTTTGGTATTACAAGTGGCAAGCTTAACGCTTGGAAGGAACAAAAATCAAAATAACCAACATTAAAAAAGATAACCAACATTAAAAAAGAAACTCTAGCATCAAAATAACCAACATTAAAAAAGAAACTCTAGCATCTAGGATCGAACCCCTCAGCTTCCTGTGCGCCTCTGTAAATAACGAGTTCGCAGTAGTCGACCACTTGTGGCAATAACTTCATCTGCATATCATCTGCATGTGCATGTCGTGCTAAGCCATCAGCACACCTCAAAGCTTCCCCATTAGCATGAGCTAGCTCAATATCCCAATCCTCGTATAACAATTGTCTTGTCTCTTCAATAATCTGTCCATATGGGTGATTCTCGCCACCATCTCTAAGCAAGATGGTTATTGCTTCTAACGAATTAGAGCAAATTTGGATGTGTTTCAGGCCAAGGGATTGACAGGCCTCCAATCTTGTTTTGTTTGCCAGTACTTTGGCTATCATGATAGGATAAAAGCCAAGATTTTTTTGGAATCCTATGATCTGCTTTCCTCTTTCGTCTCTTAAGATCCATCAACGGGCAATCCTACTGAAATCTATGACTGAGACATCCACATCCAAACGTGCAGCTCCCGGTGAGATTGAGTAATTTCTAAAAAAATAGCCAAATGTAGTAATGAGCGAAAATGTTGATAAAAATATATAGATTGACAAAGATATTATAACATTTACAAAAAAAAAATTAATAACAAATTAATTCTATGATTTTAATCATAATCAAAATTATTTTTTATAATATATTTCAACATTCATAAATTTTTATGCAAATTTTAAATTAATTTAATATAATTTATTTTTTAAAACAAATGATATCTGCATTAATTTCATTGCTTCTAATTTAATGTTATAGAAAAGACAAAATCAAATTCATATAAATATTTAAGTTTTATAAAAAGTAAAATTTAGAACCCCAACTATGAAATTTTAGTGATCAAATGTAAGCGAAAATTACTAAATATAATTATCTTGTATAATTTTTATAATGTATAGATTGAATAAAAAAAATAATGAAAATTGACGACAATGGAGTGCTCCCCTATTTTTTAGCCAATAATTGTCAAGTAATTGAGATGTGGTTAGAGGGAGTATAAGGTAGTTGGTTAGGGTAATTTAGTATTAGTATATTTTCATTTTGGTTTTTGGTCTTTGTAAGTAATTAAGATTTGTAAGATCCTCCGCAATAAATATTATTTCCTTTAGGTACTTTATTCTAAATTTTTCTAAAATAAATAAGTTGGAAATGTTGTGGAATATTCTAAAAAGAAGAATTAAGACAGTGAAAAGCACCAAATATTGTCTAGACAAAACTTTTGGGTCCATGACAACTTTTCAAAGTGAGGATTGCAATAGGAATTGCTTTCTGTCTGGAAATTTTGTGTAAAAGAGATGTGAAACGATCTATTATATTTTTTAA